TGGCGAACAAGAGCAGCGCACGGAAACGCCGTTTACCTTCCCGCCGGAGTGGTACCTATTTATCTACTTGCACTTTGACGTGCTTTCAAACTGCTAGGTTGGCAGGAGCAGGGACTGAGCCACGGGAGCTCGCCCTGTCGCAGGGATTCGAACCGCCAACCTTCTGATCGGCAAGTTCTAGGCTCTGTGGTTTAACTTAGAGCGCCACCCGTGTCCCTTCTGTAAACATAACTGCCATCAAAAGTTTGTGAGCTCACAGGTCTCTGTAAGACAGGGTGGTTTTTGGTTTTTTTAGTGGTGGTGATCAATGTTGTATTCACTGAATTCACCAAAATGTACATCCGCTTGCCTAAGGTGTCCCCTGCAGTATGTAGAAGCCATTGCCTTATTTTTGGGTAGCCCCATTTTGCTTCCAAACTGATAGGCACCCAGCCACCTGAGTTAGATGGTGTTGTTGAACCATCAAACAAAACGTTACAGTGTACCCTCCCTCCTACAAGGTGCTCCTATTTAGGGTTCCAGGCCATTTCCTCCAAGGTCATTCCTACATGCACACACCATTTCTCCCTTTCCCAGCTGTTACTGCACATTCTACAACTACCCTAAATCAGTATTTTTGGTTAACCGCTACCCTTAGGGTTTTTTATTATTATTATTATTAAAATACATTTGCTGTTCCTACAAACTTCAAGGTTACCCTGAACATGCTGATACCTCCCTCTTGTTTCTCGCTGCCTCCTTGTTGACTCCAGTCCTGTCAACATTCATCACCTGTGTTTGCTGTCAAGTTTCATCAGCTTTTGATGGAATGGAGATGACAGATTTGTATCACTACATGTGTTAATCATCTTATCAGTGCTGTGTCAGGATATTAATTCCCACTGCAATTATATATTTTTATGTAATTACCACTACCTCTTTTTTTTGCATTTTGTTTCCCTCTGACCTGCTTATTTTTTGCCCAACCCCTTCACAACTATGTGTGTGTGTATATATATGTCAATTTAGGATTACATTTCATGCATCTGATGTTCTAGACTCCATTCCACAACAGCTTATGCTGCAATAAATTCCATAGCCTTCAAGGTAGCACAAGACCATTTATTGTTCTTGTCTCCAATATCATTTCTCGTCCCCTATGACCCCATCTGTACTATATACTATCACTTTAAACTGTTGTGGCTTCCCCCACAAAATCTTGGGCAGTGTGGGCTGTTAAGGGTGCTGAGAGTTTGTTAGGAGACTCCCATTCCCCTCAGAGAGCTACAGTTTCTGGAGCAGTTTAGCAGTCAATCTCTCTTCCTAGGAAACTGGGAATTGTAACTCTTGGCAAGCTACAGGGACCTCCTAGCAACTCTCAGCCAACTTAGCACACAGTACTTCCCAGAACTCTTTGGAGGGGAAGCCGTGGCAGTTTAAGTGGTATGAAAGTGCTTTAAATGTATAGTGCATATGGGGCCTATTTATACACTCTCATTTACTCAGCATCCAGTGTGCCCCCACCACTTTCAGGAAGGATCAGAAAACATCCATCAACCCCTTTATAATATTCAACACAAAGCCATGTAATAGCAGCAGCATACAATTGCAGACGAAATAGGAAATGTGGAGGGCTTTATAAAGATACCATTGCAGGACAAAGATGGCAATGTTACTTAGCCAGCTGATCCACCCGTCTCTCCTGACTCTCTCATTTGAACCGGTTCCTGTCTCCTTGGGCGCAGCCCACCAGCACCTTTTCTGTTCTTGAGCAGCTTGCATTTATTTCAACGAGACACATGACGGAGACAACGCTGGTGTGGCCTTTGCCAAAGCAGTACCCGTTGTAGCCCAAAACATCTGGTGGGCACTCAAGTTGGGAAAGGCTGCCTTTGTGGATTATGCCGATTGTTCCCTCCCAGAACTTGGGAGCAAAATCGAAGGCGTAGGGGTCATTGAAACTGAATCGAAAGCCTCCACGGGGTGGAGAAAAATCTCTTATTTTAAAAAGCCCAAAAGCTATACAGTGGTACCTCGGGTTAAGTACTTAATTCGTTCTGGAGGTCCGTTCAATCCTGAAACGGTTCTTAACCTGAAGCACCACTTTAGCTAATGGGGCCTCCTGCTGCTGCTGCACCGCCGGAGCACGATTTCTGTTCTCATCCTGAAGCAAAGTTCTTAACCCCAGGTACTATTTCTGGGTTAGCGGAGTCTGTAACCTGAAGCGTATGTAACCCGAGGTACCACTGTAATGTCAGGGGAAAGGGTCCAGCCTAGTGTTTCTCCTCTCATACCACTTTTATGTGCAGGAAGATTTATCCGTGAGGAAGGAAGCATTCACAGGCACCTTCATATTAACATAGTAAAGATAAAGGGACCCCTGACCATTAGGTCCAGTCGTGACCGACTCTGGGGTTGCGGCGCTCATCTTGCTTTACTGGCCGAGGGAGCCAGCATACAGCTTCCGGGTCATGTGGCCAGCATGACTAAGCCGCTTCTGGCGAACCAGAGCAGCTCACGGAAACGCTGTTTACCTTCCCGCCGGAGTGGTACCTATTTATCTACTTGCACTTTGACGTGCTTTCAAACTGCTAGGTTGGCAGGAGCAGGGACCGAGCAACAGGAGCTCACTCCGTTGCGGGGATTTGAACCGCCAACCTTCTGATCAGCAAATCCTAGGCTCTATGGTTTAACCCACAGCGCAACCTGCGTCCCTCATATTAACATACACGCAAGCAACACCACAGTTCACAAGAATTTAGTCGATATCAAATCAAGAGCATCTTCCACTCAGTATCCTACTTGTGCTCAAACCTTCAACATAGCATGCAAATCCAGCTAGCCAAATGCAATGCTATGCACAAGGTTAACATTTGTCCCCAATTGGACCAGGCTGAGCAATGTTGCTACTTGGGGGAGGGTAGAGCAGTAATGGCTCTAGTTTTTTTTGGGGGGGGCATTTAGCAAGATGACCTTAGTTGGTGAAGCGAGGGCTGTTTCTGCTTACTTGTCCTTTCGCCCTGGGCCCAACCCCCACAACTGCCAAAGGGTCAGTTTCCATTGCAACATCTCTCCTTTGAAGAACACATGAACAGGGAGTGGGAGCAAGGAGGAGGTGCTAGGTCAGGAGGCCCTGGTGGTTTACCGTGTCTGATGCTGACCCTTGAAGCAAGCATCACATTCACTCAAAAGTTAATAGGTGCTGACATGCTGTGCAAGAGACTTGCTCTCCCAATATGGTTACAGTTGGCTGGATTTAGGTTTGATGAGGCCCTAAGCTACTGAAGGTAAAGGTAAAGCGACCCCTGACCATTAGGTCCAGTTGTGACCGACTCTGGGGTTGCGGCGCTCATCTCGCTTTATTGGCGGAGGGAACCAGCGTACAGCTTCCGGGTCATGTGGCCAGCATGACTAAGCTGCTTCTGGCGAACCAGAGCAGCGCACGGAAATGCCGTTTACCTTCCCGCCGGAGCGGTACCTATTTATCTACTTGCACTTTGACATGCTTTCAAACTGCTAGGTTGGCAGAAGCAGGGACCGAGCAACGGGCGCTCACCCCGTCGAGGGGATTCGAACCACCGACCTTCTGATCGGCAAGTCCTAGGCTTTGTGGTTTAACCCACAGCGCCACCCGCGTCCAGCCACTGAAGGTAATGTTGTTTGTCAACAACAAATTGTTGCTGTTTTTTGTGTTGAATATATGCTATATGGTCATTTATGGACTGAATAGGTATCTAAAGCCATTTGCACATGCAGAATGTAGGCACCCTATAGAAATGAGCAAACCAGTGATATTTTAGGGAGCAGGCAGGGTCCATTACTTGCTTCACAGGAGCCTACACAACACAAAACACTGTTGCTGTGTGTAGGTTTTATTTGTTTTTTTATCTTATATTTTGGAAATGTACATCCAGTTTTCCCCCTTTAAATTTTTTTTTTGGGGGGGGTCCCTAAGAGAGAGGGGCCCTAAGCTATAGCTTGTTTAGCTTATACGTAAATCTGGGCACTGGTTACAGTACGTGTTTTTAAGTTGAAGGCAAGTCCTGCTCACTTCAGTGGGGCTTCCTTGGGAGGTTTTTAAGGAGAGCTTGGATGGCCATCTGTCATGGGTGCTTTAGCTGAGATTCCTGCATGGCACAGGGTTGGACTAGATGATCGTCAGGGTCATAGCTGTCAACCGTCCCTTATTTGGCGGGAAACTCCCTTATCCCAGCGCCATGTCCCGCTGCTGTCCCTTATTGATGATGTCCCTTAAATTTCCCGGGTTTCATGCTCGCCCGGCTCGGGAGGGAAGCAGCGGCTCGGGGTCCTCCGCCTCGAGAGAGAGAGTGCGCACGAGCTGCCGCATCTCCGTCTCTTCCTTTCCCCCCTCAGGGGTACGTCGTGAGGAGACGGGTGGCAGCGGGCAGGCAGGCCGCCCCTCTCTTGCGAGACTTCCGCCGCGCTGCCAGGGAAGCCAGAGGCGGTGGCGGCTGAGGAGGCGGCCTGAGGGAGGAGGAAGAGGAGGGGATGAGGAGGGACGCAGAAGGGCGGTGCTTCAGTGGCCACCGCGGCGCCGCAACCGCCTCATGCCGGGCTCGCGGGCGGCATGGGTGAGAGTCTCTCTCCCTCCCTCCCTCTCTCTTGGGCGGGGAAGGGCCGATGGAACTCCTCGCGCCAGGACAACGGCAGCCCGACGAGCTGCTTAGCATCCCCTGCAACCAGTGCAGCATCTTAATGTAGTGATTTCCCCCTCTGCATCCCTTTCATAACTCTATTTTTATAAATCATTTGTGCACCCATAGTTCAAGTTTTTACTACAAGTTTTCTGTTAATCCCACCAATGTATGTAATTCTTTACAATTGCTTTTCAAATAAATTATAAACTTTCCCCATTCTTTATTAAAGAGGTCCTCTTTCTGGTTTCTAATTCTGCCTGCAAGCTTTGCCATCTCGACGTCGTTCATCAGTTTTGTCTGCCCCTCTTCTTTGGTGGGGGTTGTAGACCCTTAGGATCATCTAGTCCAACCCCCAGCAAAACACAGTCAGTGGCAGCCAGAGCAGCATGGCTCCATCAGTGCAGGATTTCTGTATCAGGCAAGCCAAACTCCCTTATTTTCGAGGCTGCTGGTCCCTTATTTTCAAATCTGGAAGTTGACAGCTATGGTCAGGGTCTCTTTCCAACTCTTTTTCTGATTCTATGTGTAAGGCAACCAGAGAAGTTAAAGCAGTCGGAGCGCCCTCTGGCGGCTGGCTGAGCGCATGGCGGCCATTGCAGAAGGCCCGGAGGGAGCGAGGGCTAGAAGCGCGTGAGTCGCTGGTTACCCGGGCAACCGAAACAAACAGGGGCGCGCCAGCAGAGCGCGTGCGTGTCTTCTCTCTCTCTCTCTCTTTTTGCAGCCGGGAGATCTAGAAGAGGCGCCTTCAGTGCAGGATGGTGCAGGCAGAGGAAGGTGCGTGAAAAGAAGACTCCGCAGAGCCGCAGTTCCTTCCGGGAGAAAATTCTGGCACCTGGAGGAGTTTGCCTCTGCGCATATGCAGAGTGCATATCCTCTTTTAAGAGTGCAACGTTGTTGTTGGGGGGGGACGGCTTAAAGGGGGTGTGATTTCTGAGCATGTGCAGAGCGCTCTCCTTTTCCGACGGGAAGCAACTTTCTCAGCCAGTCGCTCCGAGCAGGAGCAGAAAGCTCCCTTCTCTTTTTGGAAAAAATTCCGGTTTATCGGAAGGAAAGAAGAAGAGTACAACGGAAACAATGTGGGAGAGAAAGAGACCACCCCTATTGAGAAGTGGTCTTCCCCGCAGAAGGCCACCTGGTGTCCAGCAAACCTGGCTTCTGTAAACCTGCAGTTTTAGGGGGAAAGTGAGGCAGCTTGGCGCTAGCAGGCTGGTATTTGTAGAGGAGGGAATGAGATACTTTCCCCTTTCTTTCCATATCTGCCCAGGATGTCACTGAGAGAGAGCCAGGATAGTGGCCAGATACAAGAGAGGACAATGTCCTTGTAATACTTGTGCGGAAGTAGCAGTAGTAAGGGACACGGGTGGCGCTGTGGGTTAAACCACAGAGCCTAGGGCTTGTGGATCAGAAGGTCAGCGGTTCGAATCCCCGTGACGGGGTGAGCTCCTGTTATTCGGTCCCTGCTCCTGCCAACCTAGCAGTTCGAAAGCATGCCAGTGCAAGTAGATAAATAGGTACCATTCCGGTGGGGAGGTAAATGGTATTTCCGTGTGCTGCTCTGGTTTGCCAGAAGCAGCTTAGTTATTCTGGCCACATGACCCGGAAGCTGTACGCCGGTTCCCTCGGCCAATAAAGCGAGATGAGTGCCGCAACCCCAGAGTTGGCCACGAACTGGACCTAATGGGCAGGGGTCTCTTTACCTTTACCTAGTAGTAGTAGTAGTAGTAATAATAATAATTCAAAGTAAGGTGCAAGTCAGGCAATCCAAATCCTGTCCCATGAAAGTTGTCACTTCTCATTGTACAGAATTTCTAAAATAAAAACAACAGCCTCATCCCAGTATACCTGAAGGAGCACCTCCAACTCCATCACTTAGCCCAGACACTGAGGTCTACCTTTGATGGTCTTCCGGCGGTTCCCTCACTACGACATGGAACCAGGCAGAGGGCCTTCTCGGCAGTGGCACCCTCCCTGTGGAACCCCCTCCCTTCAGATGTCAAGGAGATGAAGAACTGCATAACTTTTAAAAGACATCTGAGAGCAACCCTGTATTGTGAAGTTTTTAATGTGTGATGTTTTATTATATTTATTATGGGTTATTGGGTTGTTGTTTTCATTTTGATTATATATTTTGTGGTTTTGTGTTCTGATTTTGTTCTGTGAGCCGCCCTGAGACGTCTAAGTATAGGGTGGTATATAAATTCAATAAATAAATAATAAATAGTAATAATATATATGCTGTAAGTCGCCCAGAGTGGTTGGAGAAACCCAGCCAGATGAGCGGGGTATAAGTAATAAAATTATTATTATTATTATTATTATTATTTTGTTTTTATGCTCCCTATCTGACTGGGTTGCCCCAGCCACTCTGGGCAGCCCCCAACAGAATATTAAAAACACAATAAAGCATCAAACATTAAAAACCTCCTGATTTCAGCTGGTGTAGGTGTATCTGAGGCAGTGTGTGAATTCAAAAGGTAGAATTGCATTCTGACAGTGTACCCTGGTTCTCATTCCGATACCCTGATATTCAAGGGAGATGCAGGGTTGCCAGCAGTCGCAATACACACAATGCCAAAGCCATCGCTTTGCTGGAACAAAGTAACCTTTAATTAGGTGGAAAAACTCCTTGTTAGTTAAAAGTCAGTGCACAGGGAGCATTTGTTCTGTATGTAATTGCTGGTAATTTGAGGTTTGAGTGCACAGGTTGCAGACATTAAAACCCACCTGTTCTTTTTGCTTCCTTTGCAGTTTCTCTCCCTGGTTTTCAATCAGGTGAAAGGTAAGAGAGAACTTCCAGGGCCTCTGTGGTTATTTGCTCCAAGTTCTGTAACCATTGCTCACTTTTTCCTTGACTGCAGCTTCTTAGACGGGCTTTCTGCTGAGTGTGATTTTAATTGTTGCTTGGGACATGCATTTTACAATATCCGGCCTGCAAGATATTTCAGCAACACTAGAGAACAAAAATGAGAGTAGAGTAGAACTCACACATTACAGTGGTGCCTCGCAAGACAAAATTAATCCGTTCCGCGAGTCTCTTCGTCTTGTGGTTTTTTCGTCTTGCGAAGCACGGCTATTAGCGGCTTAGTGGCTATTAACGGCTTAGCGGCTTAGGCTGGCTTTAAGAAAAAGGAAACAAACTCGCAAGAACTCGCAAGACGTTTCGTCTTGCGATGCAAGCCCATAGGGAAATTCGTCTTGCGGAACGACTCAAAAAACGGAAAACCCTTTCGTCTAGCGAGTTTTCCGTCTTGCGAGGCATTCGTCTTGCGGAGCACCACTGTATAACGGCGCCTGTAACTTCTACATATTAATGACGCTGGGCAAAGTATATGAATAATGATTTCACTTTTTTTCTTTCCCAACAAAATCTTACTTGATGCCTGTTATTAGGAATATATTGTTGAGCCCTCCCGATCCACTGTTGCACCAGCCACAAAACTTGTGGCACCTTAAAGAGTTTTAAAGCATTTATTTACATTTGCATCCCATCTCTCCTCCATAGAGCTGAAAGCACAGTATGTGGTTCTCTTTTCCCATTTTATTCTCAGCACAATCTGAAGGGAAGATTAGGCTGAGTAGCCTACACAGTCACTCAACTCTTCGTGGCTGAGGGGGTCTTCCCAGTCCTATTTGGATGTTCTAATCCAGAGTTTCCCAAACTTGGGTCTCTAGCTGTTTCTAGACTACATTTCCCATCATCCCTGCCTACTGGTCCTAGCTAGGGGTGATGGGAGTTGTAGTCCAAAAAAATAGCTGGCGACCCAAGTTTGGGAACCCCTGCTCTAACAACTGTACCATTATCAAAGTAACAAATTTATTGTTCGATCTGTCAAGAGCTGGTCCCTGCATAGAGGAGAGAGACATTTTAAGTTAGAGCTTAATAATTATTTCACTATTAATGTACTTCTTCTTAATTGTATTTCACTATTAATATACAGTGGTGCCTCGCAAGACAAAATTAATTCGTTCCGCAAGTTTTGTCGTCTTGCGATTTTTCCGTCTTGCGAAGCACGGTTTCCCATAGGAATGCATTGAAAATCAATTAATGCGTTCTTATGGAAACCGACTTCAGACCAGGTCTGGGGACAGTCTGTCCCCCGACCTCTTCTGAAGGCTGGGGGGGGGGACCAAGGGCTTTTCTTCCCACCCCCAGCATTTTAAAAAACCCCGGGACAGCGGGGGACTTCTCCGCTGTCCGAGGCGATCTTAAAATGCTGGCGGGTGGGAGCGAAGCCTCTGCTGTCGCCCGCCAGCATTTTAAAAAGCCCCGGGACAGCGGGGGACTTCTCCACTGTCCCGGGGCGATTTAAAAGCCCCCGGGAAGGCAGGCAGGGGGGACAAAGACTTTTGCCCCCCGCCAGCCTTCAGAAGAGGTCCAGGACCTCTTCTGAAGGCGGGCAGGGATGCGAAAGTCTTTGCTCCCCCCCGCCTGCCTTCAAAAGTCGTCCGGGACAGCGGAGAAACACGCTGCGTTTCTCCGCTCTCCCGGGAAGGCAGGCAGGGGGGGAGCAAAGACTTTCGCCCCCCGCCGGCCTTCAGAAGAGGTCCAGGACCTCTTCTGAAGGCGGGCGGGGGGCGAAAGTCTTTGCTCCCCCCCGCCTGCCTTCAAAAGCTGTCCGGGACAGCGGAGAAACACGCTGCGTTTCTCCGCTCTCCCGGGAAGGCAGGCAGGGGGGAGCAAAGACTTTCACCCCCCGCCGGCCTTCAGAAGAGGTCCAGGACCTCTTCTGAAGGCGGGCGGGGGGCGAAAGTCTATGCTCCCCCCCGCCTGCCTTCAAAAGCCGTCCGGGACAGCGGAGAAACGAAGGCTGGCGGCGGGAGGAGGTCTCTCCGCCCGCCGCCAGCCTTCGGAGGAGGTCCGAGGACAGTGGGGAAGACGCGCTGCGCTTCCCCGCTGTCCCGGAGATTTCCCTATGGGCTTTCATCTTGCGAAGGAAGCCCATAGGGAAATTCGTTTTGCGAAGCGCCTCCAAAACGGAAAACCCTTTCGTCTAGCGGGTTTTCCGTCTTGCGAGGCGTTCGTCTTGCGGGGCACCACTGTACTTCTTCTTAATTGTATTTCACTATTAATATACTTCTTCTTAATTGTATTTCAGTTCAACAATTACTTTGATAAAATACATATTTTCTTATGTGCAAATAGATACCTATTAGGTCCATAAATTACCATATAGCATATATTCAACACAAAAAAGCAGCGACAATTTGTTGTTGACAAAGGACAGCTGGACATATAAAGGGCCCCTTTGCCTTCAGTAGCTTAGGGCCTCGTCAAACCTAATTCTGGCCCTGCTGGGGGTTGGACTAGATGCCCCTCGCGGTCCCAACTCTACAATTCTGTGATTCTACGTAAGCCAGGCTTTGACTGTTCAGAGTTCTGAAAGCTCACCTGGACACAGGCAGAGGAAACTGAAGGGGACCGTAGAGTCTCTGTACGCTTCTCTCCACCTATTATTCTGTGCTAATCTGTGTTTATCTCTCCTGTAGCAACTGATTGTCCATAGAGGTGGGAGGAGGGACAAAGGCAGGTGATGATACTGTCTATGAGACTAGATTTTCATTGGGGTGTAGTCCTGGGGAAGAATGCATATGACAAATAGCAAATAAACCCGGGAGGGCTTCCTGTATCAAACAAGAAAAGGGTGTGTCGGAATTCTCCTGTCAAAGTAATTATTTGGCAGTATGTTTAGGTTTGGTTCTTTTCTAATGTACTAAAGTCACCCCTCCCCATTTACACTGTCCCGCAGAAGAAAACAAGAACGTCTGCAGATTAATTCAGTGGGGCTCACTCCCGGTTTAGTAGGCATATTGCAGCTTTACTTTCTCTATTATGTATGTCAGGCTGATAGCTCAGTCATAGAATCATAGAATCATAGAGTTGGAATAGACCACAAGGGCCATCGAGTTCAACCCCCTGCCAAGCAGGAAACACCATCAGAGCACTCCTGACATATGGTTGTCAAGCCTCTGCTTAAAGACCTCCAAAGAAGGAGACTCCACCACACTCCTTGGCAGCAAATTCCACTGCCGAACAGCTCTTACTGTCAGGAAGTTCTTCCTAATGTTTAGGTGGAATCTTCTTTCTTGTAGTTTGGATCCATTGCTCCGTGTCCGCTTCTCTGGAGCAGCAGAAAACAACCTTTCTCCCTCCTCTATATGACATCCTTTTATATATTTGAACATGGCTATCATATCACCCCTTAACCTCCTCTTCTCCAGGCTAAACATGCCCAGCTCCCTTAGCCGTTCCTCATAAGGCATCGTTTCCAGGCCTTTGACCATTTTGGTTGCCCTCCTCTGGACACATTCCAGTTTGTCAGTGTCCTTCTTGAACTGTGGTGCCCAGAACTGGACACAGTACTCCAGGTGAGGTCTGACCAGAGCAGAATACAGTGGCACTATTACTTCCCTTGATCTAGAAACCGTCGGAAGCGTAGCTGTCAACTTTTCCCTTTTCTTGCGAGGAATCCTATTCGGAATAAGGGAATTTCCCTTAAAAAAGGGAAAAGTTGACAGCTATGGTCGGAACAGTTTGAGACTCTTAGTCTGAGGGTTGTGCGTTCTAGCCCCACCTTGCAGGGTGCTGGGCCTCCTCAAACCCACAACCCTACAATTCTGTGATTCTATACTCCTTAGTAACATTCTAGGACCGCCTGTGCACCTGAGCCCAGTCACAAAAACTGCTTTATATCTTTCAACTTCTAGGTGTTGGGTTGTACAGCAATGATGGAAGCAAACCTGGAAGCAAATCAGGAAGGAACAGGAAAAAGGTATCTGTTTACATACAGAGTTTTGGAGCTACCTTGGCCTGTTTCGTGGTTCTAGATTACGCCAGTCATTTCTAGCACGTCAACAATCTGAGCTGGGATCGCCACACAGTTTCTGCCTGACTGGGCTTTTGTTGTTGTTGTTTAGTTGTGTCCGACTCTTCGTGACCCCAATGGACATGAGCATGCCAGGCACTCCTGTCTTCCACTGCCTCCCGCAGTTTGGTCAAACTCATGCTGGTAGCTTCCAGAACACTATCCAACCATCTCGTCCTCTGTCGTCCCCTTCTCCTTGTGCCCTCCATCTTTCCCAACATCAGGGTCTTTTCCAGGGAGTCTTCTCTTCTCATGAGGTGGCCAAAGTATTGGAGCCTCAGCTTCAGGATCAATTTCAGTTTCTTCAGCACCAGTGGTTGGTGCATAAACTTGGATTACTGTGATGTTAAAAGGTCTGCCTTGGATTCGTATCGAGATCATTCTATCATTTTTGAGATTGCATCCCAGTACAGCTTTCTCCACTCTTTTGTTGACTATGAGGGCCACTCCATTTCTTTTACGGGATTCTTGCCCACAGTAGTAGATATGATGGTCATCTGAACTGAATTCGCCCATTCCTGTCCATTTTAGTTCACTGATGCCCAGGATGTCAATATTTATTCTTGCCACCTCATTTTTGACCACATCCAACTTACCCAGGTTCATGGTTCTTACATTCCAGGTTCCTATGCAATATTTTTCTTTACAGCATTGGACTTTCCTTTCGCTTCCAGGCATATCTGCAAGTGAGCGACCTTTTGGCTTTGGCCCAGCCGCTTCATCAGCTCTGAATCTACTTGTACTTGTACTGACTGGGCTAAGTACAGCCAAATATCTGGCTAGAGGGCGGCCAGCAAAATAGGAGCCTGGTCACCTGCAAATCCTTTGGAGAAAGTTGGCTGTAGGAAGGGTATTTTAAAAAAAACAAATTTGCTGGGATCTGTCGGAGATAGAACCACAAAACTCATCCATAACTGGGCCTTAGTCTCTAGTTGGGGCTGCCTGTACTTTTTGCCTTGTGTGCTACAGATGTGCAGTATCAGCCTCTGTGATTGATAGACAGTCTCAATTACAAGGAAATCCTAGATCCTTGATTTCCCCACCTTGCCAGGTCAACAGCTACTCTCAGCAAGACTGTGGGATGGAGAATGCCCCACCCACACCAGGTCTGGCCCCTGACTGCGCTGTACTTAACTTCCCAGCCTTTTTAACAAACTGCTGAAAAGGGAGGGAACGCAGAGCTCTCTCCTTCTCTCTTCCTCTCTTGGTATTTACTCTCCTGCCCCTGTCTGTCAAGAAAACATCATCATAAGCCCTGCTTGGTTGGGAGGCTGTTTACTTATAAAAAGTGCCTTGGCTTGTCCTGGCTTGAAGAAAAGGCCCATCGCCTCAGGTGCAAAGGTGTCTCTCAAGGAAGCCTTTGCCTAGGAGCATGTTTTGTACATGACGGAATGACTTTGGAGTTCAAATGTAATTAGCTAAGGCCATTATCAGGTTTTGTTTTTTGTTTTTTTGGGTTTTTTTGCATCAAATGAACATAATAACCTGTCATCTTCTTGTCAGTTTTCTGTAAGCATTCTCAAGGCAGAGCAGTAGGAACAGGGAAGTAGGAATGCAGGAACCCTCAAGACTCCAGCCTGCTTCTGGAAATGCAAATAATAAAAATAAAACAGAATAAGCTCTTTGACTGGAATTCTAATAAGAACATTTTGCATAGACTGTCTGGTGTTCTGATCCCAAACATTTGCACTGGTATCTTGCAAGGGACGCTGGTGGTGCTGTGGTCTAAACCACTGAGCCTCTTGGGCTTGCCGATCAGAAGGTCAGCGGTTCGAATCCCCGCGATGGGGTGAGCTCCCGTTGCTCAGTCCCAGCTTCTGTCAACCCAGCAGTTTGAAAGCACACCAAAAAGTGCAAGTAGATAAATAGGTACTGCTCCGGTGGGAAGGTAAACGGCATTTCCGTGCACTGCTCTGGTTTCAGTGTTCTGTTGCGCCAGAAGCAGCTTAGTCATGCTGGCCACATGACCCAGAAAAACTGTCTGCAAACGCTGGCTCCCTCGCCTGTAAAGCGAGATGAGCACCGCAACCCCAGAGTCGTCCACGACTGGACTTAACTGTCAGGGGTCCTTTACCTTTTTAAAATATGCTTGCAGTCTTGCTTGCCTCGGTGGAGGTATCTGTGTGTGGAAATGCCTGGTTTTTGCCTAGTTAGAATGTGGGCAATTGTACAAAGGTAAGAGTCACATCGTTCACCACACCGACTTTGGTTTCTGGCCACACTCGCCATTGGCATGTGGCGCCCCAGAAAGGGAATGTAGAAAAGAAAGGTTTCTTAGCCCTGGAAGGGAACTTACACTTTATGCACGGTGGTTTTATCCACCTATGTGTTTCTTGTTTGTTTTGCAACTGTACAAGTTTTCAGTTCCAGGTTTGAAGAGCTTGCAAAACCAAAGGAGATCAAAGACGTGTGGAACTTTTTCCGGTAAGATTGTGTGGCTTCATAAAGGATGTGAATCACAATAAGAATTATTCGCATTTGGCACCTTAACGTGCTCATTGTCATAGGCCTCATCCGCATTATGCATTTAAAGTGGTTTCATACCACTTTTATTCCCTCAAAGAATTCTGGGAACTGTGGTTTGGCCTCACAGAGTCCCCTGGGAAGAGGGATTGAGCATTAAGACTTGTTCTTCAAAGTGAGGGGAATGTGAGGAGAATATGGGTCTCCTAACTTCTCTCAGCACTCTTAAGAAACCAGTTCCCAGGATTCTTTGGGGGAAGCCATGAGGGTTGAAAGTGGTATGATAGTGCTTAAAATATATAGTGCAGATGGAGCCATAGCTGTCACAATTATCTTACGACAGACTTGTACTAAAGACCCATATTATCAGCTCCATATTTTACATCATTAGAGGTTGAGAGCAAGTACAGGCTTGTGAAGTAGAGGTCCCGAATATTTTTATTTCTGTATATTCTGGATGGGTAATGAATTTTGGAGAAAATTAGATTGGAGGAGGTGATCTTGTTCATTGGGTAGAATATTATTATTATTACATGATCTAGAGATAATTTGGGGGGAGGCAACTGAAGGAGAATCAAACTGATTTGGACCAGGATCTGTTGAGAATTGAATTGGGGGGTAAATTAACTGATTGGGTGATTTGGAGTAGGGTGCAAATTAATTGAATATATGGGCTGATTTGAAAGGCAAAATAGCCTGCCTCCTGTGACATTTAAAACATAAATCTGCATTTATACTTATATTATTTATTTACTACATCAATATCCCGCCTTTCTCCTTCATGGAACTGAAAGTGCAAGGATGCTGCCCCACAGACCTTCAAACTGTGCCCTTCAAATTTTTAACAGTTATATAGCCTGGTGCAGTGGCGTAGCGTGGGTTGTCAGCACCCGGGGCAAGGCAAGTAATTTGTGCCCCCTAACCCGTGAGCCAGGTAGGGGCAGAGAGCTGCGAGTGCGAGCGCGCCCCCCCAGATGTTGCCCCCGGTGCTGCTGGCCCCCCCTGCAACCCCCACGCTACGCCACTGGCCTGGTGTATTATGGGTAGCTCAAAAACCATCAGAAGATGGATCACGGGTTATTTGAAAAGATATTTAGTGGTCCTTTTGACTATATTTGAAAGTGCTGGTCACCATGGTTTCAGCATTTCGGCATTTTGCTTTGGAGTGACTCTACCCTTATTGGTGCATTTCAAGCTCACTTCGGTTGGATTGCTCCAAAGTAAATACAGTGGCGTAGGGATGTGGGTGGCGCTGTGGGTTAAACCACAGAGCCTAGGACTTGCTGATCAGAAGATCGGCGGTTCGAATCCCCGCGATGAGGTGAGCTCCCGTTGCTCGGTCCCTGCTCCTGCCAACCTAGCAGTTTGAAAGCACCTCAAGGTGCAAGTAGATAAATAGGTACCACTCCAGTGGGAAGGTAAACGGTGTTTCCATGTGCTGCTCTGGTTCGCCAGAAGCGGCTTAGTCATGCTGGCCACATGACCCGGAAGCTGTACGCCGGCTCCCTCGGCCAATAAAGCGAGATGACCGCCGCAACCCCAGTGTCAGCCACGACTGGACCTAATGCTCAGGGGTCCCTTTACCTTTAAGTACAGTGGTACCTCAGGTTACAGACACTTCAGGTTACAGACTCCGCTAACCCAGACATAGTACCTCGGGTTAAGAACTTTACCTCAGGATGAGAACAGAAATCGCGCGGTGGCGGCATCGGGAGGCCCCATTAGCTAAAGTGGTACCTCAGGTTAAGAACAGTTTCAGGTTAAGAACGGACCTCCAGAACGAATTAAGTTCTTAACCCGAGGTACCACTGTACACTGAGAACATAAGAACAGCCCTGTTAGGCCCAGTCAAAGCGTCTTGTTCTCACAGTGGCCAACCAGATGTCTATGATAAACCCACGACTTGGAGCCAAGCACAACAGTACCCTGCCCGGTTGTGATTCTCAGGAACTGGTGACCTCCCAAGGAATATAGGGTTTAGGACCGGGATACTTGGAAAAGCCGTGTCCCAACGCCATGTCTTCTCTGAGACAGTGACCAGGCTTTGAATTTCCTGTTTGTCTGACTCCATCATTGTTGACATTTTTGCACCTTCTGGCTGTGAGCACAAGGTGTTGAGCCCTGAATTCTATTTCTGCCTTTTTCCCTTGAAAGAATTTTTGGCTTTACTTTTTTTAAAAAGTGAGTTGTTTTTTAAATAGTATTGCTTTTATTTCCTGCTCTCAGCTGTCTCAAAGATCTTGTAAGGTGGACAGAAAGTGTGGGATATACGGTATGTGTAAATTAATGGTAGCCAGCCAAATCGGTGAACCACAGCCATCAAATGAGTGACCTCCCATTGTAAAATCACCGTTAATCAGTTTGCTCCCAGAAAGTCACAGATCTTTAGAGATGATTTTGGGTGAGAACAACTATAACAGCATACGTGTGTGTGAGTGATTTGCGTAATACAGTGGTGCCTCGCAAGACGAAAAGAATCCGTTCCGCGATTCTCTTCGTCTAGCGGTTTTTTCGTCTTGCGAAGCAACCCCATTAGCGGCTAAGCAGATTAGCGCTATTAACAATTTAGCACTATTAGCGGCTTAGCGGGCTTAGCGGCTAAGCTGTTAAAAGGCTATTAACGGCTTAGCGGCTTTGAAAAAGTGGGGGAAAGCGGGGGGGAAATGGCGAGACTCGCAAGACGTTTTCGTCTTGCGAAGCAAGCCCTTAGGGAAATTCGTCTTGCGAAGCGCCTCCGAAACGGAAAACCCTTTCGTCTAGCGGGTTTTTCGTCTTGCGAGGCATTCGTCTTGCGGGGCACCACTGTATAAGAATAGATGCTTAATGCGATAACCTATGGTTGTGTGCAGGAGTTTCTAACCATGGTTTGAGTGGCTCTTTTGTTTTTATTCACAACAGTAAGTTAGTCTGGGGAAACCAAGATACAATATGGCCCCTTTCCTCACGTGCTCTGATGTGTCGGCCAACTTCAAGAGTCTTAGGCCTGGCAAAACCCAAGAAACTAGATTCAAATCTCCCGCGCAGGTTTGTCATTCTTACTTTCCCTCATTTAAAAGCATACAGGAGCTGAGTGGGTTCAGGCCAAAATCAAGTATTGTACTTCTGATTCCCTGCGGAGCTTTGGATGTGTGCTTCCTGAACAGCAGCTTCCCATGCTGTTTATGGCAAGCCTCTTTTGAAACCAAGCGGAAAGGTTTGGGAGGAATAATATATAATAATCATAATCATAATAATTTATTATTTATACCCCACCCATCTGGCTGGGTTTCCTCAGCCACTCTGGGTGGCTCCCAACCGAATATTAAAAACACAATACAGAATTAAACATTAAAAGCTTCCCTAAACAGAGCTGCCTTCAGATGTCTTTTGAAAGTAAGATAGCTGCTTATTGCCCTGACATCTGATGGGAGGGTGTTCCACAGGGCAGGTGCCACTACTGAGAAGGCCCTCTGCCTGGTTGCCTGTAATCTCGCAGTGAGGGAATCACCAGAAGGCCCTCGGAGCTGGCCCTCAGTGGAAGGGTGGGATATGAATTTAATAATAATAATAATAATAATAACAACAATAACAACAACAACAAAACAACAACTATTATTATTATTATTATTATTATTATTATTATTTACCTTGCTATATGGCATGTTAGACTGCTCAGCAAAGAAACAAAGCTATACATTTAAGGCAGATGTGGGGAAACGTGGGACCACAGCTGAACTACAAGTCCCATCTGCCCCAGCAAATATAGTCAATGGCCAGGGATGATGGGAATTGTAGTTCAGCACCGTCTGGCGCACCAAAGTTTCCCCACACACGATTTAATGGCTTCCATTTGGGACAGTGCATACTTTGAAATGCGTCTGTGATGCTGCGAGACAAGGAGGCTGCTGTATCTCCTCCCGCTTATTCCCTGCGCTGAGGCCTTCTCTCCTCTCCAGCACCCACTGTGACAAGCAGGACTCTAGGTGTTAAGTTGTGGGTGAACATATCAGACGACACAGCGATTCTTCAAACAGCTCTTGTTTATTCACAGGCCAGAACAGAACTGAACTGAAGGGTTCAGTCAGCTTGCTTATATAGAGCTCCAGTACAACGTAACTGTAACAATTTTCTAAAACTATCCAATCACTGAACGTCACTTTCGATCCCTTATTTGCATAACTATCTACAGTATCCCCCTGCTGGCCCAGGGTGAGAACTTCAGTACATGACACTAGGTGTGCCGCATGGCAGATGGTGTGGGAGACAGACCATACGCTGTGGGTGTCAATATGCCTTTGAGCCAATGCTGACAACTGGGCTCAATATCTGGATCCTCCGTGACTGGGCTAGGCGACTGGAGCACTTCCAGAGACCTTCCAATCCTGGAAAACAGGTCTAAGTGCCCTGGACCCACAACTGCCCATTGTGAGCACCAAACTCAGCAGAGTATGAACAACACAGAAGAAAGCTGTAAAGCATAACTTCTTTTATTGCTAATAGCTACTGCAAACTAAAAACTAAAGAGCTACCGGCTTGCATGAGTGTTACAGCTCTCACTCAGCCACCTAATCTCTACATAGATAACACACAAACTACCCACAGAGTCAGGGGTGGAAGTGAAGAGCAGTTTCCGCTCCCTCCTTTCTGAAAACATAAGGAGATTTTTGCAATGGGAGAGGTGAAAATATCAACAGTGATGGGTAGCAGAAAGCCACAGCAGCTGGCAACCCACACCACATCGCTAGTAATAAGTGCTGCTGCTGTTTTTGGTGTTGCTTCTGAGCTTGGATACGGTTCTCCAAGACCGTACCTGCTGTGGCGAAGGAAGCCGCTCAGGCACCTGGGGCGAACTGCCCATAGGGGTGCGGCGAGGGTGGGGCGCACTGCAGGGCCTCCAGAGTCTGCCTGCCTCCTCCCACTCAGCCGCCCTACAGCTGTGGGGGGAGGCAGCGGGCGGACTGTTTGGGCAGCACGGAGCCTGCATGCGCCCAAGCCACCACCTCTCTCCCAGGAAAGATGCATGGCTCAGGCACGCTGCAGGCCATGTGGTGAGTGTCGCCCAACATTTTGTCACCCTCCCCCCCAATGATGACACCCAGGGTGGCTGCACCCACTGCAACCCCCTTCCTCCGCCCCTGCGTACGTGTATCAGAGAAGTGAGGTTACAGGGAACCAGACAGAGGGCCTTCTCGGTGGTGGCGCCAGCCCTGTGGAAATCCCTCCCTTCAGATGTGAAGGAAATAAGCAGCTATCTTATCTTTAAAAGACATCTTAGGGAAGCTTTTAATATTTAATGCTGTATTGTTTTTAACACTCGATTGGAAGCCGCTCAGAGTGGCTGGGGAAACTTAGCCAGATGGGCGGAGTATAAATAATATATTATTATTATTATTATTATTATTATTACTACTACTACTACTGTCTTCATAGCAATGTCCTCTTGCCAGTGCCTTAGAATTCCCAGGATTCTTTGGGGGAAATCCTACCAGTGATAGAACCCTCCCAATATATATTTTGTAATGAAGATTTGCCCAAAATTGGCCACTGCTTTCCCCAAGTGTTGGTCTCCTATTAATATCACCTTCCGGAGCTGCAAAGATGTCTCTCTAGGTGAAGTGAAGAAAGTCCGGCGTGTATTATTATTCACGGCGTAAGTAACAATAAGGGCATTCCAGATTAATTTTGGTTCTCCGTCAAGAACTGGCAGGCAGAAGGGAGAGATCGTGAAAAGGGTGTCGCCATTACTCTCGGTTGCCAAGAGATCTGACTCACCAAGTGAGCAGCTGTTTGTGCTGGAATTGCAGGATGTTTTAATTTGAATTCCAGGCCCAGCATTGGGGCACTTTTGACTGCCAGTTCCTCAGGCACAGTGGAACAATTCATGGAATGATTTAAGCACAGTCTATATAGTGCATATTCCATGCCTTTGACTTGCCCCCTAGATTCCTGTTTGGGGCAAGAAATATCAGCTACAAGTGAATATGTGCATATAGCACAAGTGTTGTCATATCAATGGCAGTGTGTGTGTGTGTCGTCTTTCAGAGGGATACAGAAATACAGTGGTACCTCTGGATACGAATGGGAGCTGTTCCGGAGCCCCGTTCGCATCCAGAAGCAAACGTAACTAGCAACGGCACGTCTGCACACACACGCGTCGCTTTCCGCCGCTTCTGCGCATGCGCATGACATCCTTTTGAGCGTCTGCGCATGCGCAAGCAGCGAAACCTGGAAGTAACACGCTCCGTTACTTCTGGGTTGCTGCGGAACGCGACTCAAACATGCTCAACCCAAAGCGCATTCAACCCGAGGTATGACTGTAGTGCAGAATACGCTGATGGCACAGAATTCAGCTTCCTAATAATCTCACTTTCCCCCTCCCAAGAAAATTTCTAGCCAAGATGGCTATATGTTTTTTCAATGCATAGGATAGTGATGGGGAACCTCTTCCACTCCAGAGGTTGCACAGTAAGGGCTTTGGGGAGTTTGCAGGCAGGCACAGACCATAGAATACCTGTTTGGATGAAATGACAAATAATGGGTTGCTGCAAACCAGAACTGGAGATAGGAAATTACTGCATGCGATGAGAGGAGGAAGGAGAATTCGGGAACACAGAAGTCCAGGGTCCCTTGTGGCTTTTTAATACAGTGCCAGCCAGTTTGGCACTATATTTGAGCAGAGGTCCCTAGAAAAGCAGCCTTTAATAAATTGCCACAATTCCCTTTTAAGAGGTTGTGTGTCTTTAATACATCTGTATTAAACTTGGATATTCTTTTAAATCAATACACTTTTTTAAAAAGTTGGCTTTTTGGGGGGGTTAAAATAACCATTTCAACTCCCACCCCAAAATGATTTTTAAAAAAAATACACAATGATGGAATGGAGAAGGCTAGCCTAGAACCCTTCTCTTCCTGGATGGTGCAGTTGTTCATATTAATCATAAGCCCTGGGCTCCTTTGGGGCGGGGAGGGGAAGTGGGATATAAATATAATAAAGAAATAAAATAAAGAAACCACGACGTAGAACCAGGATGAATAAAATAAGGTGGAACTCACACTTTTGACTTGCTGTTTGAATTAATGCCAAGCTCTGCCTCGCCTCCACTGACGCCTTGCGGTTTTTCCAAGGTCCATCCATTTGTATAGTTGTGGCCGTTCGTCTGAGATCTGGCACCGCCCTCCTGGATTATATTCTATAATCCCGAGCCAACGGATATTACACCTAGCAGAACCTAGAAGATGCGCAGAAACGTACCTGAAACAAAGGTGAGAGACTCGTGCTGCCAACTATGTTGATTGTCAAGAAGCGACAGGATCAATAGGGATTGGGGCTGACATTGTATGAATGCAGCTTCAAAAGGTAGCAGTGGGAACCCGCTAGATATAGAGTACGGATAATGCAAACATAATTATAGACAAATCCTCAGAGACCATGGCCTGCTTTGGCTATCACATTCCTCAGGAAATAAAATATTAACAACATTATATCTTACTTTCAAATTACTAAACCCCTGGTGGTAAAAACTGGGCAGAGCCTGAGCAGAATCCAGTAATTTATAAGGGGAGTATTTTCTCTGTCATGATGGAGAAAGCAGTCATATGGACATGTGCAGTTTAAAAATTAAAAGTGAGTTTTAGTTAAAGGTGGTCCCTGGGCCTGAGAAGGTAGAGCTTTAGATCATATGGCCTTGACAATCTCAGACCGTCCAAGTGTTTTCCAGGGGCAGTCCCTGATTTAGAGAAGCCGTCCTGGTTTCTGATTTGATACCGGAATGTCTCTCTTTTCCTTCGGACGTCCCTATTTTCATCAGAGATATGTTCGAGGGTATGGAGTTTTCCGATCCCCTGAGCCGTCTGAAGGCAACCCTGTACAGTCGTACCTCGGGTTACATACACTTCAGGTTACAGACTCCGCTAACCCAGAAATACTTCGGGTTAAGAACTTTGCTTCAGGATGAGAACAGAAACCGTGCGGCGGCAGCAGGAGGCCCCAACCGCTTCAGGTTACAGACTCTGTTAACCCAGAAATAGTGCTTCAGGTTAAGAACTTTGCTTCAGGATAAGAACAGAAATCGTGCTCCGGTGGTGCGGCAGCAGCGGGAGGCCCCATTAGCTAAAGTGGTGCTTCAGGTTAAGAACAGTTTCAGGTTAAGAACAGACCTCCGGAACAAATTAAGTTCCACTGGTACCACTGTATGGGGAAGTTTTAAAAATGTTTTATTATGTTTTTATATATGTTGGAAGTTGCCCAGAGTTCTTGGGGCAACCCAGTCAGATGGGCAGGGTATAAAATAATAAAATTATCATTATGGAATGGGGTGTCCCTATTTTCATCGGAGAAAATTTGGACGGTATGCAATCTTCTCCCATTTTTCAACTGCACTTTCCCACAATTGCAAGTAAAAATGGAGGGAGAAGTAGAAGCGTAGAAAGAGGTGATGTCATGGAGAAAAACTGAAAGGGGAAAAGGATCCGAGCAGATGGAAATATGAAAATCTATAAATGGAAACCTGCAGTTCCCTCTTCAGCGTGCGTGTGCGCACACACACACACACACACACACACACTATGGCCTGAATCCTGAACTGGCCCAAATCCCTTTCAGAATCTCTGTGCCATCTTTACAATAGCAAGAAGCAACTGATATTTTGGAGGGGTGCACTTTACATTTGAAACTAGTAAAATGCCCATATAGGAGGGGTGGTCTCATGAAAGAATGACATTTATATTGGAGAGACCCCTCAGGAAGTTGACACCAGTCAAACTGCCAAACTTATTTCATTTTCTATCGCACATGAACACAAGCAGAACATTAGTTGTGATCTGCATTTCTAGCTGCAGGAACAGCAGCTGATTATCAACACCCACTAACTGTTTGTACCATGTGATAAAGGTAAAGGGACCCCTGACCATTAGGTCCAGTCGTGACTGACTCTGGGGTTGCGGCGCTCATCTCGCTTTACTGGCCGAGGGAGCCGGTGTACAGCTTCTGGGTCATGTGGCCAGCATGACTAAGCCGCTTCTGGCAAACCAGAGCAGCGCACGGAAACGCCGTTTACCTTCCCGCCGGAGCAGTACCTATTTATCTACTTGCACTTTGATGTGCTTTCAAACTGCTAGGTTGGCAGGAGCAGGGACCGAGCAACGGGAGCTCATCCCGTTGCGGGGATTCGAACTGCCGACCTTCTGATCGGCAAGTCCTAGGCTCTGTGGTTTAACCCACAGTGCCACCCACGTCCCTTTTGTATCATGTGATAACGGAAGCCTAATTATGTTCACTTCTTCACTTGATAAGCAACTCAATAACATCTGGACCCTATCCATTTTGTCGGCTTGCTTTTTGGCCAGAATCACAGGCTGCCATAATTTTTTGCCATCATTTCTCTGTACAAACGCTTCAGTCGTTCATCATGTACACAATAGTTCTCCCTCCTCATGTGTTTGGACCTTTTTTCGCTGATCTGCTGCCAGTTGAACGAGACGGTTGTCTGCTCCCCTGTTCCCACCAGCTATAAAACTTGAGGGTGAGGCATGAAAAAGAAAGCAGCTTAGCAGAAGCAGTGGAGAAATTGGAAAGATCAGAGAAGAGGCCTATGGATGGGAAGAGAACTGCTGCTAAACTCTCTTCGTACACAGAGATCTCGGCCTCTTGGTCTTCCTCTTTGAAGAAAGAAGGCAACGCTTTGGTGAGGGGGTAACCCGTCCCTGGACTGTATGAATTGCAGGGCGCTCACATGACTGAATGGGTGAAAATGGAGAGAGAAATCCCTGCACATAGAAAACAAGCATGTCAGGGCGGCTACATCCCTTCTCTTTAGCATCTGGTTTTCTGTGTGTAAGGAATTTTGTATGGAGGAGCATTCAAGTTGCAAGGGCCCCAAACATCATACCCTCCAATGTTTCTCCAATAAAAATAGGAAGGTCCTAAAGGAGGAGGAGGTTGTGGTGGTAAAGGATCCCTGGGTGGATAAGTCCAGTCAAAGTCGACTATGGGGTGCGGCGCTCATCTCACTTCAGGCCAAGGGAGCTGGCATTTGTCCGCAAACAGCTTTCTGGGTCATATGGCCAGTATGACTAAACCACTTCTGGTGCAACGGGACACTATGATGGAAGCCAGAGTGCACGGAAATGCCATTTACCTTCCTGCCGCAGTGGTACCTATTTATCTACTTGCACTGGTGTGCTTTCGAACTGCTACATTGGCAGGAGCCGGGACCGAACAACGGGAGCTCACACCGTCATGTGGATTTGAACCACCAACCTTCCGATCGGCAAGCCCAAGAGGCTCAGTGGTTTAGGATACAGTACCATCAGTTGTTGTTGTTATATTTATATTTATACCCCACACATCTGACTGGGCATTTTCTAACATATATAAAAACATAATAAAACATTAAAACTTCCCTATACGGAGCTGCCTTCAGATGACTTCTAAAGGTTGTATAGTTACTTATCTCCTTGGCTCGGGGGTTGCATAACTCCATACCCTCCAACACTTCTCCGATGAAAATGGGGCCATCCTAAGGGAAAGCGGGACATTCTGGGATCAAATCAGAAATTGGGATGGCTTCTGTAAATCCTAGACTGTTCCTAGAAAATAGGGGTGCTTGGATGGTCCAAAATAGCAGCATTAAGTGATGAAGATCAGAAGCAGATTTATATATTATATGTTGTTTGATGTACGGCCTAAGTCATTGCACGATGACAGTACACAGTCGGGGTTTTGAGGAGGAACACCAAATGGATTTTCAATCCTAGAGAGGAACGTAGAACTCAGCATAATGCCTGTGTGCGCACTGTACCTTTTAAAGCACATTGGGAGCGCATGATTCCCCTCAAGGATTCTGGGCCCTGTAGTTTGTGCCTCACAGAGTTGCAGTTCCCGGCAAGCCTTGGGGAGGGGAGGATGTGTTTCAAATCTACTTTAAAGGCATAGTGTGCAAGCAGCCATATTTACAAGGACCAGAAGGCAACACTGCTCTGTCAAGCATTACACAGTGAATGCTCGCTTGACAGTGGGGCAGAAAAAGCCACAGAGGCAGATGAAGCAACGGTAAATCAAAAACATTTTCAGAAACTTTAACATGCAGTTGAGACTTGTATGATTTTTCTTGCCTGTGTGTCCTTCCAGTCACCCCATGGCAGGGGTGGGGAACATTTTCCAGCCCCAAAGCCTTCTGGGCAGCCTTCCAGGGCCAACGTGCTGAAGGCAAGAGAGGGTGGAGTGCTGAATGCGAGTTTTAGCTCTGCGCCCGGGGCGGCTTTCTTCATGCTCGCACAAGGCTCTCTCTATCCTCCTTCAGCCAGATAAGCACAAAGCATGGGCAGAGCTAATGGGCATGTTCCAGTCAGGCAAGAACGCCCAAGCAGGGTGCAAGGCTGGGAAAGTAAAGGTGTGTGACTCTGGCCGCATGTGACACCTGAGCATGAAGTTATCCTGCCCTGTGGGGTAGGGGACAATGTTGTGTAGTGGTGCGTTTATATTGTGGTTGGCAGTCATAGAATCATAGAATTGGAAGGGACCCCGGAGGCCTGGGCAGGTCGGGTCGTCCTCTTATATACCTGCTGGGATTGACAAGGCATCTGACCCTCACCTGAATCTCATAGCTCTCCTGTCGCTGCCTCTGATTAGTTATCATTTAACTCTTTGTTGTTGTTTAGTCGTTTAGTCGTGTCCGACTCTTTGTGACCCCACGGACCAGAGCACGCCAGGCACTCCTGTCTTCCACTGCCTCCCGCAGTTTGGTCAAACTCATGCTGGTAGCTTCAAGAACACTATCCAACCATCTCGTCCTCTGTCGTCCCCTTCTCCTTGCACCCTCCATCTTTCCCAACATCAGGGTCTTTTCCAGGGAGTCTTCTTTTCTCATGAGGTGGCCAAAGTATTGGAGCCTCAGCTTCACGATCTGTCCTTCCAGTGAGCACTCAGGGCTGATTTCCTTCAGAATGGAGAGGTTTGATCTTCTTGCAGTCCATGGGACTCTCAAGAGTCTCCTCCAGCACCATAATTCAAAAGCATCCATTCTTCGGCGATCAGCCTTTTTTATGATCCATGGGGAAATAATTAGCATCACACGTCATGTGCATGGAAGTTGAGAATTCCTTTCCACCTCAAGGAACAGGCATGTGGAATTGTTGCATGTCAATGTCTGTTTACATTCCAGCACAGCTTGCTGGGAACTTCCGTTTGTGTATAGCTTTTGCTGTTCTCTCCGAGACGACGTGAGAGAGAGACGACATGTTTCTTTGTTCTGATTTATGTTTAATAAATCTGTCGCTGTAGCGTGACTTATGTCTCACGCCTACTTCTGTGTGCGCAGTACACTTTGCTAATTGCGTGCCCTGGCTTTTGAAGTTTGGGTCGCTGATTTACGTCATAGCACGGGCCGATGGAAGTAGACGTCCGAGCTGGGCTTGCCAGCTGGTTTCCCTGCCCCTCTGCACGTTGACACCCCCTGCAATACAGGAATCTTAACTAAAGCATCCAGGACATCTAACCTCCGAGGAAGGAGAGCCCTCCACCCTCCAAGAGAGACCGTTCCACCATTTAACAGCTATTATAGTTCTTCCTGATGTTTAGTCAGAATCTCCTTTCTTGTAACTTGAAGCCATTGGTTCAGGTCTTAGCTTCCAGAGCAGGAGAAAAGAAGCTTGCTCCATCCTCCATGTGGCAGCCCTTTAGATATTTGAAGATGGCTGTCATATCTCCTCTCAGTCTCCTCTTTACCAGGCTTAACATACCCAGCTCCCTCAGCCGTTCCTCATAAGGCTTTGTTTCCAGACCCTTGATCATCTTGGTTGCCCTCCTCTGCACATGTTCCAGCTTGTCAATGTCCTTCTTTAATTGTGGTGTCTAGTACTGGACACAGTCCTCCAGTGTGGCCTGACCAAGGCAGAATAGAGTAGGACTATTACTCCTCTTGATCGGGGTACAATACTTCTGTTGATGCACCCTAGAATATCACCCGTCTGTTATATCTGTCTGTTATTATTATTGTTATAACTGTCTGTCTCAGGAGATCATTATCAGTGCCTCCGAGAGTGAAATCAAAGCACTGCATTAGCACCTCCCTGGCTTGCAAGCCTGGGCAGTGTGTATGGAGGTCCTGGGCTGCCCAGATATCAAGACCCACCTCTCAGCTTCACAGATGTGATCCAGAAGAAAGCAGAGCAATACATTTGGCACCAGCTTGGCTGTAGGAGTTGATGGAAAGAGGTGTACAAGGCGTCATCCAACCGTCTTAGGGACTCCACTCTAGATTTGTGAAGGGTTTACTCCTTAGCCTTTTCTTCTCCCGAAGATATCCTGCAAGGTTTAGGATCAGAGTTTTATTTTTCCTAGATGGGCTACCTTCCCAGGTTGACAAGCCCCATCTGCCCCACCCTTCCCTCTACACATGCAGAAACCTTATTCTCTGGTCTTATCTGCTCCATCCACCGGAGCCTGTCTTTGCATGCAGGGGAAGCTCTTAACTCACCCAGGGTGTGAGACCCATCAGCTTCCCTCACCTGGTTTAGCCAGCCAATCAAAGTCGTTCCTGGGGTGTGGCCACTGTCGCTTGGTGACAGCTGACTGCAGGGCAGGGACCAAAGGTGGACAAACTATCTCATAAAGCGGGGACGGCCAACTTCTAAGAGACTGCGATCTACTCACAGAATAAAAAACTGGCAGCGATGTACCCCTTTTGGGGAGATTGTGGAGGGCAGGGCAGGGGGGCAGGGCCCGATTCTATTTTACCACCACTGAGGAAAGGGAAGCAGCGATTGACTGTGATCTACCAAAACCTCCCAGGGATTTACCAGTAGATTGCAATTGACCTGTTGGACATTCCTGTCATAAAGGATCACAAGACATCACACACTCAAAGTACCCACACCCCAAACACCCCTGATTTTATATTAGGTGTAGCCAGTGCTATTTTTCTAGAAAAATAGGTGCTGGAACTCATCATGAATATCTCCCTTGTTCTCTTATAATGCTAATGGCGCCCACCTGAGAGGTGGCGGAACTGAGTTCCAGTGAGTTCCTGCTAGAAAAAGCCCTGGGTGTCACATATAAAAGAGCATTTTCAGTACACACATCACTATAGACATTATATAAATATTATGCTTGCCACTCGCATCTATGAGTTGCAGTTCTGTCAGGTAGCTATAGAACTCGCACCTAGCTACACACTGGTGGGGGGTGGGTTGTGGGGGCAGTGAGGAGTCACCAGGCAGTTGCTAATGGTCCCCTGTTTGTGTTTGCTTGCAGGCCCCGCAGTTCCCCGCAGTGGCCTGTCAGTAGCGCAGCACTTTGCTGGGAAGCTTCCCCAAGAATTTTGAACCTCTCACATCCGCGAAGCCTGCCCTCATCCTTCTCCTTTCCAAAAGAGGTAATCAATGATGATGCTGAACCAGAGAACACCATCAACAATGACAATTTCAACAAGCGTTTCCAGACACAGGCTCTGCCTGCCCTGTGAAGTCTTCTGTGCTTTTCTCCGCACTACAAAGGAGGCCCCAGGGTTCTGCCACTGCTTTGGGGAAAGGTTGCTCTCAGCTTGCCCTCCTCGCTGCAGCTGAACTGTTTCCAAAGAGCTGAGCCCAGCAAGTGGGCTTGGTGTTTTTGGTTGCTCCCATTCCTCTCAGTTTGTAGGACCAGCTTAATCCAAACATTTAGGAGCGCTGACTTGGGCCCCAGCTTATGGGTGCCCAATGGCGCCCCGACGTAACATGTCATTGTGATGTTGTGATGTCACGTTACGTCGGTGGCACCGCTGCAGCGCTTCCGAGGCCTTGCAAGACCTCCGACACAACTTTCAGTTTATACCGGAAGTCGCGTTCAGAGGCCTGGCATGTCCTTGAATGTTGCCAAGGAGGTTGCGTCAGGACTCCGACATGACTTCCGGTCAAATCTGGAAGTCGTGTCGGAGCCCCCCAGTGCCGGTGCCCTGGCACGCAGGGCCCCCTATAGTTGGTGCCTTTGCGAACAGTGAACTATAACCAACCAGCTACAAAAAAAATGCACTTCTGGTTTGGGGCTCCATGCCCTCTGATAAAGTGGCCCAGGATAATGGGAAGCCTCTGTTGTTAGGTAATGTGGAAATATGGAGGCTGATGTTAGCTGAACTTTCAGCCCATGCAAGAGGAATGAAGGAGGAGGAGACTGAAAATGGTGGCAGTCTTGATTGTTGAAATATTGCAGGGGCCCAAGCAAGCCCCACAATCATAATCAATCACATGACACGATGCACGCACACCATTTGAATGGCAATGCCCATCAACTTTGCGGTGCCCGGCCCTTTCAGATGTTTTATTGCGGGTGCCAAAGCTCCCATGGCCCCTAGGAGTTTGCTCCTATGCCGGTATAGTATGGCCTTTATTCCATATCCAGCAAGCTGATTGCAGAACTGAAATGATTCAGGGCCTTTCTATGTAAGCAGCACGCACCCAAACACCTCATTTCATTCTGCGACTCATCCTTCTTCCCTCTTCCTTTCTTGATGCAACGCACTCCCACTCTGTTCAGTTAAAATGGGTGGCTAGCCTTCCTGTTACGTAAGATTTCTTACGCCAGGGTGACATTACGCAGCCACACATAGACTATTCCTTTTAGTAGAGAGCCAGTGTGGTGTAGTGGTTAAGAGCGGTAGACTCGTAATCTGGGGAACTGGGTTCGCGTCTCCGCTCCTCCACCTGCAGCTGCTGGGTGACCTTGGGCCAGTCACACTTCTCTGAAGTCTCTCAGCCTCACTCACCTCACAGAGTGTTTGTTGTGGGGGAGGAAGGGAAAGGAGAATGTTAGCCACTTTGAGACTCCTTCAGGTAGTGATAAAGTGGGATATCAAATCCAAACTCTAATGCGTAAAATGGGATAAAAAATACTACAGAGCGGACTGCCAAGGCTCTTCCCTTTTTTGCAGACGTGGGCAGAAGCAGCTCTCAGTTATAGCTGTTTCCAACAATAAAGGGCAAGGAAGCTGAAGAGAATGTGGAAGAAGCCATTTTCTCAATATGTGTTTTTGTGTGTGTGTACGTAAAAGGGACAGTTTCTGAGGCACAAACCTGTTCCCAGGCAGCTATTGCCTCTTCCACGACAGGGAGCAAGCCATCTGCCATTGACACTTCCTCTGCACCCCCCCCCCCGCCCCATTGCTGGGCAAGGTAGGCCCCTGAGATACAAGCCAACTGACAAAATGGCTTCACTCCCTCTCCTCGCATGTTGTGAGGCTGAATATGCCAGCCCTTATTTCAGATGGGTGGACAGACGTCCCTTCTCTCTCTTGCCCCATGCGGGGAAGAAACAGGCTAAGAAGGCAGATTGGTTGGCCCAGCCTCCATGTGGCTTTAACAGGCCCCCCCAAATAAAAATAAAAGGCTAGTCATGAAGCAATCAAAAGACTCCCCTGAATGCAAATTACATGTGCAAAGAGGAAGAGGAATATCTGGATTGGGTCATAGTGGAGCTAAAAGGGTAAAAGCCCAGATCCAAATTGGGCTCCCCACATGGACAATATGTGATTATTTTTTTAAAAACCTGCACTTTAAAGCAGTGTTTCCCAACCGGTGTTCCGCGGCACACTGGTGTGCCGTGAGACCTTGCCTGGTGTGCCGTGGGAGGGAGGCGGGAGAGGCGGCACCCGAGATCGCTTCTCCCCACTGCCCCTTGCTTCAAAAGAGGTCCGGGGACAGCGGGAAGCGCTTTGCGCTGCCCCCGGACCTCTTTTGAAGCAAGGCTTTGCGGGGAGAAGCGATCTCCCCGCAGCCCCTTGCTTCAAAAGAGGTCCGGGGGCAGCGGGAAGCGCAGCGCTTCTTCCCCGCTGCCCCCGGACCTCTTTTGAAGCAAGGGGCTGCGGGGAGATCGCTTCTCCCGCTGCTCCGAAGCGGGGCGGGGGGGCGGGAACACCTGCCCCAGCCGCCCCGCTTCGGAACGCTGCTCCGAAGCGGGGCGGGGGGCGGGAACACCTGCCCCAGCCGCCCCGCTTCGGAACGCTGCTCCGAAGCGGGGCGGGGGGGCGGGAACACCTGCCCCAGCCGCCCCGCTTCGGAGCGCTGCTCCGAAGCGGGCCAGTGGGGCGGGAACCTCTCCCCCCGCCGCTGGGCATCGGAACGATGCCCCGATGCCGGGCGGTGGGGCGGGAACCTCTCCCCCCGCCGCCCGGCATCGGAACGATGCCCCGATGCCGGGCGGTGGGGCGGGAACCTCGCACCCCGCCGCCGGGCATCGGAACGAGGTCCTGGACCTCTTCTGAAGGCAGGCGGGGGCAAAAGTCTTTGCTCCCCCCGCCTGCCTTCCCGGGACAGCGGAGACTTCTCCGCTGCCCCGGGCGATCTTAAAATGCTGGCGGGCGGGAGCGAAGCGTTCGCTGCCGATCCCCAGCATTTTAAAATCTCCTCGGGGCAGCGGAGACTTCGCTCCCGCCCGCCAGCATTTTAAAATCGCCCCGGGACAGCAGGGGCTTTTAAAATGCTGGCGGTCGGCAGCAAAGCCCTCCTGTCCCCGGAGCTTGCGGGGCGGGAGGTGGGAAGAAGGGCTTTTCTTCCCACCGCCAGCCTTCAGAACAGCCTTCTGAAGGCTGGCAGTGGGAAGAAAAGCCCTTGTCCCCCCCCCCAGCCTTCAGAAGAGGTCGGGGGACAGACTGTCCCCGGACCTGGTCTGAAGGCGGTTTCCCTAGGAACGCATTAATTGATTTTCAATGCGTTCCTATGGGAAACCGTGCATCGCAAGACGAAAAACTCGCAAGACGAAGAGACTTGCGGAACGAATTAATTTCGTCTTGCGAGGCACCACTGTACTTTTTATATAGTCAATATAGGCACAGAGTTAATTTTTTTAACATTTTCTAATGGTGGTGTGCCTCGAGATTTTTTTCATGAAAGAAGTGTGCCTTTGCCCAAAAAAGGTTGGGAAACACTGCTTTAAAGGCACAGCTGCATAACAACAATGGAGCATCGTCCTGAGTTGACCACTAAAGGAAGGTACCCAGAAGATAGTTAACATTTTATTGTCAAAGATAACTCTGGAAACCTACACACCCAAGCTAGCGTCTAGGCAGCTATTCCCAGGTCCACACTTTATAGAGCAGTTGCAGCAACAGGGCAGCACTCGCCCTTTACCAGTTTATGTACCTTCCCCTGATGGGCTGTGAGCACGCAGCTGGGGACTGTGCCTGCATGGCAACTTCCTCTGCTCTTCCCTTTTCAGTCCCCTCCTGGTTCTGGGAGACAGTTGTGCAGGAGAGGGTGGGGAAGCACCTGGCCCTTCACTTGCCTGCCCTACCTTTTCCTCTGACCCATCCTGTGTTCCACCCTCCAGCTCTGAAGCTTCCCATGCCTCTTGACTCTTGCCTCCTGGCTGGTACAGTTCCCCGCAGATCACTGACCCCCTCTCCCAAATCAGACTCCAGGTCCACTTCTCCTGGTGCACATTTGACCGTGTTCTGCAAGTCCCTGACCTGAGAGGTTGTTTGTGCATTACAGTGTATGAAATAATGTGTTTGAGGTTGTTACAGAAAAATCTAGGTGCGAGGCTGCTCAGTCACCCAGCTGGTCGGGCAGAGCCCGCGGGTCCCTGCGGAATAAAGGAAGGATTCCAGCCAACTGGAGCAAATAGCTGTAGACCAAAGTTTATTGCGCAATAGGTTCAAAGAGCAAATTTGAACCCCGAGGATGGGGCAACAAAGACTTTTAAAACTTTCCCACCATATCCCAGAATACAGTTCGTACAGCATCATTGCTACATCACTGACATGTCACAAAAGGGGAAGGGTTAACCTTGGCAAACATGTCCAGACAAGTCCTTGGTACAAGATTAGCATAAGCAGACATGGCAGGGCAAGACTCAGGTATAAGTTTAGCATAGACAAATAAGTCTTAAGTACCCACCACCCAAAAGTACAATAGAAGTTCCTTTGCATGTCTGGAGCCTGAGGCAAGTCAGGTGATGCGATTTGGCTTCCCCTGGCTAACAATGAGCCCAGCAATTGTCACCTCTGGGAACTTCCTGGAGTCCTTTTTCAAGGGGAAAATAGCTTTGGAATGGAGGAAACTGGGAAAGGAGATGATCTAATGTTATTTTTAAAGCTAGGTAACTTACCTGAGCTGTCAAGTTGAAAGGATACATTTAGGCATAATATTTGTAATATTTAATTTAAAGATGTGCCCCCCCCCCGGTAATTTCTGTAACAGAGGTGTTTTGTCTTTGCTCTTGTTTGTAACTTCTGTCCTAAAATTAAAAGACTCCTGTTTTCTGCTTTGTTTGCTCTGTGTAGCCTGAAACGCATGTTAGTAGGTCTGCAATGCATGCTTCGGCATCCGCAAGAATCATAAGCATTTCCCAACCGGTACAGAAGAGAGATACCTTGTGCTATGACAGCAGATACAAGGAGGCTCCGATCCGACACGTAATTCTGTTACTTTGGTTCTTTGGGATTTGAACTTCAGCCCCTGCCTTGTTTTTCAGGATTGCTTTTGGGAGATGGGGAGAGCGGGGTGGGGAGGAGTAAAGACACCCTAAATCTTTGATGAAGCACCTGTATATTCTCCTAGTTTTGTTAGGAATATACAGTGGTACTTTGGTTCTCAGTCTGTTCCAGAAGTCCGTTCCAAAAACAAAGCGTTCCAAAACCAAGGCGTATTTTCGCATAGAAAGTAATGCAGAACGGATTAATCCGTTCCAGACGTTTAAAAACAACCCCTAGAACAACAATTAAACATGAATTTTACTGTCCAACGAGACCATTGATCCATAACATGAAAGCAATAAACAATGTACTGCAGTCACACAATCAATCAATCAATCGGTAGCTGAACTGGGTTCCACACAGTCACAAAAGCAAAACAAAAAGAGCTGCAAAACAAAAACGCAAAACAAACAGACAGACCTCAACGTAACACTCAAAACGGAAGTGTGGCACTCAAAACGGAAGTGTGGCACTCAAAATGGAAGTGTAACTCGCAAAACGGAGCACGTTCAGCTTCCAAAAAAAGTTCGCAAACCAGAACGCTTACTTCCGGGTTTGCAGTGTTTGGGTTCCAAGTTGTTTGAGTACCAAGGTGATTGAAGACCAAGGTACCACTGTACTGAATATAATCAGTTGTGTGCTGTTCAGCAACAAACGCTCCTGCTTTGTTCCACAGGTGACCCGGGCTGCCTTGAATGCGGTGGCAAGTCCGAGGTTAACAGAGCTTGCGAGAGCGAAAGCGCTGGCTCCGGGGAGTGCCCCTGACCGTCCCCCTGAGTGGCCTGTCTCAGCAGCGGCAAAACATGCTGTGGCTTCGCCTAGACTTGGTGAACTTGCCCAGCCTGTCGCAAGGTGGGACTTCCTGGGATGACTCGATGAATATGTTTCGCTTGCACTCAGAGTCTGGTTGATTCTCAGATCTGAGGCGGGGGGTGGGTCAGGAAAGAAGGGGTCTGTTACCATCTTCCTTTGAGGTGCATAGCTTCACCCAGAAACTCCAGCGGGTGCAGAATGCCGCAGCAAGACTCCTTACGGGGTCCCCACCTTGGGATCACATTCACCCAGCGCATTTCCAGCTGCACTGGCTCCCGGTGGAGTACAGGATCAGGTTTAAGTTGCTGGTTTTAACCTTTAAAGCCCTATACGGCCTAGGACCCTCGTACCTATGGGACCGCCTCTTCTGGTATGTCCCACGGAGGACCTTAACAGTCTGCAAATAACAACATCCTGAAGATCCCAGGCCCCAGGGAAATTAGACTGGCCTCGACCAGAGCCAGGGCCTTTTTGGCCGTGGCTCCGGCCTGGTGGAACGCTCTCCCACAAGAGACCAGGGTCCTGCGGGATTTGACATCTTTCTGCAGGGCCTGCCAGACGGAGCTGTTCCGCCAGGGCTTTGGGCAGGATGCAGTTTGACTTTCCTTTGTATAAAAATAAGCCTGAAGGAGGCCCCCATCCTGCTCACAGGTCCTTGTATGATCAGTGGAAACAGTTGATCCTGACAAATATTAACCACTCTCAGTTCTAACCTGATAATTGCCACCTGCCCAGATTTTAACTTGCCTGAATTACCGTATTTTTCACTCCATAAGGCGCACCTGACCATAAGGTGCACCTAGTTTTTAGAGGGGGGATGCAAGAAAAATATATATATATATATATATTTTATAAAGATTTTTATTACATTTTCAATTACAAAGTCAGAAACATAAAAGACATATAAGAAAAGAAGAGAAACAAAAAAAGAAAAGATAAAAAATCCAACTTTCAAAAACATTTTTACATTACCAACTGGACTTCCCCACATCCCCCTCACCCTGCATTCTTTACAATAAACATACCAGCAAATTATTCCCTTGTTTCATATCATACTTGTATCTTTCAAATATTATATTTCGAAATTTAAAATACCTTTTATCAATAACTTATACCCTGAAGTAGATACAATTTAGTTTTAAATTTCAACCTTTTTTTACTTATAACTTAATTTCCTGATCACTGAATCTAGTTGCTAAAGCTAAAATTTCCAAATCATGCAAATTCTTAACATTCATACAACTTATAATGTTTTTGTAAATAGTCCTTAAATTTTTTCCAGTCCTCTTCCATTATTTCTTCTCCCAAATCTCGGATTCTGCCAGTCATTTCAGCCAGTTCCATATAGTCCATCAATTGCGTCTGCAAAAATATTTAAAGGGAGCGCTGAGCAGAGCCTGTATGCATCCCAGGCTCTGCTCAGCACTCCCTTTCATGAGTCGCGTGGAGTGTGTGTGTGGCTCCCCAAGTCTGTGGCTCGGGGAAAAGCCCCCAAGAGTCACACACACACTCCGCACGGATCTTTAAAGGAAGCGCGGCTCTTGGGGGCTTTTGTGGAAGGTGGGGGAAGGCACAGAGCCATGCTCTGTCCCTACCCCCACCTCCCACAAAAGCCAGGGATAGCCGCTAAGGCAGAAGCTAAAACAGCTAGAGGGAGCCCTGCTCCTGCCAACCTAGCAGTTTGAAAGCACGTCAAAGTGCAAGTAGATAAATAGGTACCACTCTGGCGGTAAGGTAAACGGCGTTTCCGTGCGCTGCTCTGGTTCGCCAGAAGCGGCTTAGTCACATGACCCGGAAGCTGTACGCCGGCTCCCTCGGCCAATAAAGCGAGATGAGCGCCGCAACCCCAGAGTCTGGACCTAATGGTCAGGGGTCCCTTTACCTTTACCTCTCCCCGCCCAGCAGGTATAACTTCAGGGTGGGATTGTTCTGTTACTACTTCAGATCCATTTTGTATCGCAGATCACTGTTTAGACTGACGACTACCTTCCCCCCGCAGGGCCGCGACCCAAATTGTCCAGTTTAACCCAGAAGCCTTTGTTGTGAAGGATACTGCTAAAAAGGCCTACTGCTCAGAAAGGGTCAAGGAGCTAGCAAAGCCAACCCAGCGCTGAGCTAATTCATCAAATGTACCTACCTCTCTCTACCTCCCAGGACCTAATTTTAAATAAATTAGGAGAATAACTGTGATTGCCTTCCTCTCTTTCTTTCCGCCACTATTTTGGGCGCACTGGCGTACACTCCAACATTTCTCCGATGGAAAAAAAGAGACGTCCCCTCCAACATTTCTCCGATGAAAATAGCAACATCCTATTTCCAAACCTTCCAACATTCCTCCAGTGAAAAGAGGGATGTCCTAAGGAAAAGCGGTACATTTCAGGATCAAATCAGAAACTGAGACCACTTCTGTAAATCTGGGACTGTCCCTGGAAAATAGGGACACTTGAAGGGTCTGAAATGGTGCTGAACTATTAACAGCACACAATAATTCTGTTAAATGTGTGTTTTCTTCCACTATTTATTCAGTCTGTGCACACACTGCATTTTAAAGCGCATTCTGCATGCTGTACATGCTGATCTTTACGCATCATCCTTATCCCAAACACATCCCACCCTTTTCAACTACCGGTAAATGTGTTTTTTCTTGCTCTCAGTTTAGTGCAAAAGTGTAATACTGTATACATTTGCATTGCTCCTTTGTGAGAATGACAAGGAGTGCGTCCAGAGAGGATCTGTTTTGTGGGTGGAAAAGTTTTTAATGTTAGATGTTTTATCAGTATTATTATTATTATTATTATTCTGTTGAGAGCCACCCAGAGTGACTGGAAAAACCCAGCCAGGTGGGCAGGGTATAATAATAAAAAATATTATTTCTATCACTACTACCACCCAGGGGCGTAGCTAGCTGCTCCAGCACCCAGAGCGGTGGGGACGGGGCGATCCACCCACGGGGGTGGGGCGATTTGCCCATGGGGGTGCTGCGGCGAGCTGCCCACGGAGTCCGCCTAGCGGACGCAAGCCCCACGCTGCCATTTCGGGCAGCACGGGGCCCCGAGGCACGTGTCACTCCCAGGAGAGACGCATGGCTCCGGCGTGCTGCAGGCCAGGCCCCGCGGTAAGCCCCCCCCCGCGGTGTGTCATTTTGTCACCCACTCATGGATGACACCCGCGGCGGACTGCACCCCCTGCACCCCCCCCTTCCTACACCCCTGCTACCACTACTACCACCAGTTGGGGACATCACGGCAATGTTCCTGTTGGATGTTACCAAAAGTGATTCTTCCCTAAGTCCTTTACTATGCTTGATGTTGCGGCCAGCATACATTTTGCTTCCAGCAAGCTGAGTTTGTGGTCATTCCTTTTGCCTTTTGCTGTTCCCATGCATTGAGGAAGGAAGTTTCCACAAGTGCTGCAGTGCTCCCACTGGCTGCAGTGGCCAGGGTGTTTTGGGGCAGACCTGGAGACCTGCAAGGACAACTACACAACAGCCACAGGAGTTCCTGGGACTAAGTGCTGCTCAAGATGGCCATTCGTGGACCTCAGCAAACAGCAACAGAGTATTGCAACAACTCCATTTGTAGTGAAAGCATGGTGGTTGCTCATCATTTCTGACGTCCTCGAATCAATCCAGTGAGACAACACCATGGGATATTTTTGCTCCCATGAGTGTAACTCAAGGATAATGGAGAAAGTACTGTCCCATCTCCCCCCCCCCCCCAGTTATTCTGGATTTCCTAATTTCCATACTGTTTGCTTCATTTTGGTGAAATGCGTATACAAATCCTCATTTGTGAAATAGTGATGTTAACATTCCATTTTACAACATCTTTCCTGTTACACGTGTTAGCATGCCATTAATTGGCATGGTTTGCTTTCACCGTCTTGTGGCTTCACTTTTGTTTTCCATAGTTAATGGATGTGGCAATACTGGCTTCCAGAACTTAAAAAAACCCAACATATTTGCAACCCAAAATATTCATTTTGAAACACAGGTTCTATTTCTGATTCCAACGACTAATTTTAATGAAACTCTTTCCTGAATTCCAGTCCCAAGCCCTAGTTACATACAAGCACATTGATTTAATAAGAACCCTGTTGGGACAGGACAAAGATCCTGTTAGCATGCTGTTCTCATGGTGGCCAACCAGACACCCATGGAAAACGTGTAAGAAAGACCTGAGTGCCATAGCCCTGTTCCCACTTGTGATTCCCAGAAAATGGTAGAGCCATACTGCCTCAGACAGCGAAATTTCAATGGCATGTATCCAACTCACTAATGGGAATAATCTTTTAAGCATACCATTACTTCACTTCAGCTGGCTCTGAGGGGGGTCAAGTCACCACCAAACATTTCAAAACGCTCTTCTTCAGATTTCTATCAAAATTCACAGTGTATTGGTTTAAACATCAATAAGTGCTTAATCCCGTCCCCTTCTCCAACTAGAGATATAAATGTGGACTTTGTAGTGGTTGAATGGACTCGGTTCTGGCTATGCATAATATTATAGAACTCTGAAACTGAGGTGAAGAGGTGAGCTATTCTTATCTGTGTAGACCAGAGGTTTCCAAACTTATTTGGCCTAGCATACCCTATATATTATATTACTTATATTATACATTTCATTACCCCTATATATTACTCAGCACTCCCTTGGAAACCTACCTCCTTTAAGGGAACAAACAGAAAGATGCAGTGACAAATTTGCATTCTTTTATGTATCTATATTTCTACCTATATTTCTCTGTAAGACAGTTGTTCCACCTGGCCTTTGGCTTGGGATCAACTTGATTCCCTTCCCCTCTTTCTTTTTTCCTTTCTCCTCCTGTGATGGAACTTCTATTTGGGGACTTCCCTGGTTTTTTTCTGGCCAATGTAGGACCAGTCTGGATAGTTAGCCTTGGTGAAGACTTTACGTTTTCATCCCCCAAAAAACGTTTTTGATTTGAGTTTCCATTGAAATGAGGCTGCATTTTAATTTTAATGTTTTAATGTTGTATTTTAATCTTGTTTTTTAAGTAGTATTTCAATCAATTTGTTTTTATATTGGCTGTTAGCTGCCCAGAGCCCAGTCTTGGCTGGGGAGGACGGGGTATAAATAAAATTATTATTATTATTATTATTATTATTATTATTATTATTATTATTATTACCTACCCCCTACAACATTTTGTGTGTTGATTTGGAAAATAATCTATGTTACATGTACAAATGGTTTTCCAACATTTTCTTCTTTCACTATGCTTCCACCACCCGCTTTATTTTTATTCAACGCTCCCCAATTGCATCCGAGGCTACTACCACCCCCAGCACCCCGCAGGGAGCAGTACAGTGGTACCTCGGGTTACATACGCTTCAGGTTACATACGCTTCAGGTTACACACTCCGCTAACCCAGAAATACTGCTTCAGGTTAAATACTTTGCTTCAGGATAAGAACAGAAATCGTGCTCCAGCGGCGCAGCAGCAGCAGCAGGAGGCCCCATTAGCTAAAGTGGTGCTTCAGGTTAAGAACAGTTTCAGGTTAAGAACGGACCTCCGGAATGAATTAAGTACTTAACCTGAGGTACCACTGTATCACCTACTTTGAGAAAAACTGCTGCTGGCCCTTCTTGGCTTCTGTTTCTTGGTCATACGAGAACACCAGGGGTGGACTTTTAGATGATAAACTGACAGGCTGACCAAATCAACCAGAAGCATGCATATCCAGTCTGATTTAACTTCCATTTTTATTCGTACATTTGGAGGGAAATACTCCTTTTAATTTAGAGGGAACGCCTTTCGGAAGACAATAAAATAAATGCGGCAACGGCATAAGCATGCACAGATTTTCATTCAGTAACGCTGGCATCAAATGAACTATGGGCACGATCCAATCCTGATACTGGGCAGCATGGGCATTCGTACCTGCATGCTAGGCACTTTACGCCAAACCATCCAAGGTTAGTGTACTAACGTCGAACAAATTAAGGCCAGGGATCTGGGGAGTGGGGCGGAAGAATCTGGCTGCACTGACCAATAGTGGGTCCAGATGCCTTGATCAGTTATCAGTTTGCACCTGTCCGGGGCTAGTGAGGCTAGATGTCCTGCTGCAGGGATTTTCCCTAGTGTGCCGTGGTGGAGGGTGTCTTCATGGTGCCCAGGGCATGTGGGCATGGCCCAACCCTTGCTGCCGACGCAACTCCCAATGTTCAGTTTGGTTTCCTGCAAGGCTACCTCTCTGCATTCATCATTGCCTACACACTGAAATCACACCCCAACTTTTTGCCAATGCAGTTGGTTTTCTCGATGTTGATTTCCTGCGCTCTTCAAGTGAGCTCACTTTTTGAGATCCCGTGGCAGGCGATGGACAGACCATTTCCCCCTGCTAAGTCTTCTTGTTCATATTATTAGCTTTGCCACGAATCAAGGCGAATGTTCTTACATTAATCCTAAACTACTCCATGCCACTTTGAAAGGAGCTGCAGCCAGCGGCAGTTGCAGGTCTTCCTTTATAATTTCTATACAAGAATACATTACAACTTGCATATATATATATCTATATGGTTTTATATAATTATTTATCCCCCCCTCAGGTTATGTACATTTTAAATAAGGCAGCAGGTTAAATAACAGACACAATTAGTTTTGATAGTAACATGTTCCGCAGCAAGAATTAATCGATGGACACCATCAGCTTTCTAGGATTGTCTCTGGAAGGAGAGTTCAAGTCAGTCTCGGACAGACCCACACTCCGAAGGCAGCCCTTCTGACCTCCTCCACTCCGCAAGACGCTTCTTGAACCATTTCTGGGGAAACAAAAGAGACGTGGCAGGATGAAAACAGAGAAACTGAGCTGGCACAACAAATGCAGATGAGGGCATATGGTAATTTCACTGAGGGTAAGCTGCTGGGAGTGCAGAATGCACAGGAAGAAGAATGCGGAGTCAGGTATGGTCTAGTTCAGGGTTTCTCAAACTGTTCTTGAACTACAGTTCCCATCATCCTTAGCTAGGAGGACCAGTGGTCAGGGATGATGGGAATTGTGGTCCAAAAACAGCTGGAGACCCAACTTTGGGAAACACTGGTCTAGATATACAGCAGAATGTGATGGTAGATCCGGGGGACGGGACAGTGAGTGGACTGTACCACTTCCACTTCATACTGCAGGGGGGTATTACATATTTTAGAATGTCCTTTGCGGGGGGG